GGCCACTATGCTGCTGCTGATGACCTTGGGGCGGCATGGGGCCACCACGCTGCTGCTGATGACCTTGGGGCAGCATGGGGCCACCACGCTGCTGCTGATGACCTTGGGGCGGCATGGGGCCACCACGCTGCTGCTGATTACCTTGGGGCGGCATGGGGCCACCACGCTGCTGCTGATGACCTTGGGGCGGCACGGGGCCACCACGCTGCAGCTGATGACCTTGGGGCGGCACGGGGCCACCACGCTGCAGCTGATGACCTTGGGGCGGCACGGGGCCACCACGCTGCAGCTGATGACCTTGGGGTGGCATGGGGCCACCACGCTGCAGCTGATGACCTTGGGGCGGCATGGGGCCACCACGCTGCTGCTGATTACCTTGGGGCGGCATGGGGCCACCACGCTGCTGCTGATTACCTTGGGGCGGCATGGGGCCACCACGCTGCTGCTGATTACCTTGGGGCGGGATGGGGCCACCACGCTGCTGCTGATTACCTTGGGGTGGCACGGGGCCACCACGCTGCAGCTGATGACCTTGGGGCGGCATGGGGCCACCACGCTGCTGCTGATTACCTTGGGGCGGCATGGGGCCACCACGCTGCTGCTGATTACCTTGGGGCGGCATGGGGCCACCACGCTGCTGCTGATTACCTTGGGGCGGGATGGGGCCACCACGCTGCAGCTGATGACCTTGGGGTGGCATGGGGCCACCACGCTGCAGCTGATGACCTTGGGGTGGCATGGGGCCACCACGCTGTAGCTGATGACCTTGGGGCGGCATGGGGCCACCACGCTGCAGCTGATGACCTTGGGGTGGCATAGGGCCACCGCGCTGCTGCAAATGTTGTGGAATAACCAAGTCCTCATACTGTTGCACTACCGGGCCCTGGGGAGAGTAACCATATTGCTGTTGATACTGAAAACCCTTGGACGGGTAGCCTTGATACAATTTATTGGGCGACTGCACATTCTGTGGTGGCTGGGCATAATAGTGCGTGGGTATGTTGGGCCCCTTCTGCAGATACTGGGTGCCCCCTGGATCCTCTTTTGTGTATTTAGGTTCAAATGAAAATTGAAGCCCTTTAGAATGTGGTCCAGAACCAAGTAGGTGGGTTTCTTCATTTAGATACTTTTTGTCAAAACCGGTATAATCACCTGTTCAAAGAGAGTTTTAGTCACTACATAACCAATCACTTATCCATCATAATAATATACCCTTACCATTTACTTGCAGTATTTCAACAGCAGCTACTGATAAAAGCAGCAACCTGGGAGAAAAAAAAATGTATCCAATTTGTGTTGGTCTCAGTAGTGTTTAAAATCTTTGCAATTTGGAATATAAAAATATATAAATGCGCCTCACCAAACTTACCCATGAAAATATCCCATAACTTAACCAAAGCTATGGGAGTTGCTAAGCAGCAGATTCAGTAATATCTGTTCAAAAACAGCAACTAATGTGACACCAGTGTTTTTCTAAGGTTGCTATGTCTCATTAACATGCTTAAAATGGACACAGCAGGTGTAATTAGCTGAGGACAGGTGGAGCTAATTGTTCTACAGAGTACATCTCTTTCACCAACCAGGTTGTAGGATACCAAGCTTGGGACATACAGTACTTCACAGATTTCAAACCAGATTTATACCTTACTTCCCAGTTGAATGAAATTTCACAAGGCAAAAAAGGCATCACATTCAGATATTTTGTATGTATGATGAATAAATTGCAAAGTTATGAAGGCTATATTCTATATATCTGTGTACTTTAAAAATAATTGCATAGAACATTTTATTGGATAAAATTCTCTCTGTGATATGTAGCTGACACCATGCAATTAGGCCAATAGGGGGCACAGTTTTGCTTAAATGTGTACATACCCTTACATAAAAGGACCAGCTGCCAGTGAAATAAATTTAAATTGACAAAAATAATTATATATATATATATATATATATCTATATATATATATATCTATATATATATAGATATATATATATATATACACATATATATATATATATATATATATACACATATATATATATATATATATATAGATATATATATACACATATATATATCTATATATATACACATATATATATCTATATATATATCTATATATATATCTATATATATATATATAGAGAGAGAGAGCTGAGCTTGGAGTGAGCTTCCTCCCGAGCTTGGAGGACGAAAGAGGGAGACCGCTCTGTGGGTGAGGATGAGTTTCCATATAAAAAAAAAACAAAACAAAAAAACACACATATATATATATGTTTTTGTTTTTATATAAAAACTCATCCTCACCCACAGAGCGGTCTCCCTCTTTCGTCCTCCAAGCTCGGGAGGAAGCTCTCTCTCTCTCTCTCTCTCTCTCTCTATATATATATATATATATATATATATTTATATATATATATATATTTATATTTATATATATATATATATTTATATATATATATATATATATATATATATAGTACTGGAGTTGAGGTGGGATGACATCCCACAAAAATCTTCAAAATCAACCCCCTTCTTAAATGACCATCCCCCCCATACCATCCCCTGTGACATTTTACTACTGAATGTGTAAAATTTCTGCTATATATTAACAGCAATGATATTGCCCTTTCAACATTTGGCATGCTGTGGGCTTATGAGTAGCATGAGCAAAATAAAAAATAAAAAATCAAATTAGTGGCCTACCATGATTATGAAGCTGATCCTAGTGGGAATTTGTCCCTATGTAGTGGCAGTAATAGCCATGCCAGTCCAGGGACTTGACAGTTCTACTACAAGGTGCCTTGGTCAAGGTCAAAGACCGGTGTACCTGACATGTAACAGCCATACCCTGCTTATGCTATAGGTTAATAGATTATATTAGTTCTTCATTTGATACAGTTGACCATAATATTCTTTTAGAAAGACTTAAATATTTTGTTGGGATTAAAGGAACAGTACTAGACTGGTTTAAATCTTATCTATCTGATTGATTTCAGTTTGTTCATGTTGATGACAGATCTTCAACATGCTCAAAGGTTACCTGTGGAGTACCACAGGGATCAGTGCTAGGACCAATTGTCTTTACCATATATACGCTCCTAATCGGTAGAATTATTAGACAGCATGGGATTAATTTCCACTGTTATGCTGATGATACCCAGCTGTCTATAAATCCAGATGAAGCTAACCCATTACATAAATTACAGGCATGTCTTGAAGACATAAAAACCTGGATGACTCTTAACTTTCTCCTTCTGAATGCAGACAAAACAGAGTCTTTGAAAAATAAACTGATTAGTCAGCCACTTCATTTGAATGGGATTAAACTGATTTCAGATAAAGTAAAAAATCTTGGTGTTTTTTTATCATTTAATCAAATTTTAATCCCATATCAAATAGGTTTCTAGAATTTCCTTCTTTCATCTGCGGGATATTGCAAAAAATTAGAAATATCCTGTCCAGGGTTGATGCTGAGAAACTAGTCCATGCATTTGTTACTTCAAGGCTGGACTATTGTAATTCTTTACTATCAGAGTCCACAAACTGTAGTTAAAAGCCTTCAGCTGATCCAAAATGCTGCAGCCAGAGTTCTGATGAAAATGAAAGAGATCATATCTCTCCTATCCTGGCTTCTCTTCATTGGCTTCCTGTTAAATCAAGAAAAGAATTTAAAATCCTCCTTCTCACATATAAAGCCTTAAATGACCAAGCTCCATCTGATATCAGATATGATTGTTCCTTATGTTCCTAACAGAGCACTTCACTCTCAATCTGCAGGTTATTAGTGGTTCCTAGAATTTCTAAAAGAATGGGAGGCTGATCTTTTAGTTATCAGCCTCCTCTCCTGTGGAACCAACTACCAGTTTTATTTTGTGAGGCAGTCCTGTCTACTTATAAGGGTATGCTTAAAACTTTCTCTTTTGACAAGGCTTATAGGTAGAGTGGCTCAGCTATCTCTATAGTTATTGCACTATAGGCTTGGACTGCTGGAGGACATAGGGACCCCTATATCATTCTCTCAGCAGAATCTTTTAGTTCAATCTGTAACTATTCTCTTTCCTCATAGCTTCGTCTGGTCTGTTCCCGTTTGGCTTTGACCCCTTCCTGGAGAGAAATATCAGCTGCGCTGTTGCCATCAACACCTTTGTTTATGTCAGAGATCGGCCTGTTTTCCCCCCCAATGTAGTCTGTTAAAAATTAACAGAAGTATGGGAGAGTGATTCATTGGACACAGGTGATATTCAAGTTCTTAGCGTCACTTCAAAGTTTGAATTAGTACTCCAGCATGCCATCAAGTTGGCAAAGGCCTGACAAGCCATTCATTTGATATGGTTGTTTTGGAGTAGGGATGCTTTATGAAACCTGCATGATTGAAGATCTTCCAGCTTCAGAAACCCCTGCTGTACAAGTTGAATTCAAGCCCCATCAATAAAAGGGCTCACCACAAAAAACCCTCCCTGGACTCTGGAGTGAGATTGCATAATTTCCCCACTTAATTTACATTCACTGACAGAAAGCATAGGAAGTTGGAATATAAATTAAAGTTTGGAGTGGCTGACTAGTTTCGCAGAAAGATAACATTGCATTTATGGAAATTGACTGGCTTAATGTTTGACTTTACTGCTTTAATGAAGTTATGTACCTGCATTGCTTCACTACTCCAGAGAGCACCACAAGATCAAGTCACTTCTGGCTTTCAGCACACTGAAAGCCATTTCCCACTATTATTGTGGTCAGGAAAATTGCTTCTGGAAGGAGTAGCCTTCTGAAGGTTGGCATGAAAGCAGCTAATGTGCAGAAGAATGTCCTTTGCCTCTCCAAGTGGTTTGTGGAGCTATAACCACAATTACTCCTAAATAGTTGGCGAAGCCTTCATTTGTAGCCATCCATTTTGTTTAGGACAATTTATACATTTGAAGGATATTTTGCATCCATGATTTGAGAAGCATTTGTAGCCCAGTAAAACTAAGCATCAAACAGAACAGGCTTGTGTAATGAAAAGTTTGCTTTATTTTAAGATGAATGACCCTTCAGACTTTACCACTACTGCACCTGTTAAAGAAAAAAAAAAAAAAAAAAAAATTAAACTCTGACATTTATAAAAAAATAAAACCACACACACACACACAACTTAAGTTGGTACTAACCTGATTCAGATCTTAACAGGCAATTGGAGTCAGAAATGGCCATTCGCTCTTGCAGCCTGGACTCTTTAGTGGATATCCATGGTTCAAGGTTCTTTTTGAAGCCTCTCTAGGCTTCATGTTGAACATCAGGGGCACAATTCTGTGGCTTGCTGGGCCCCCTACTGGGTAGAGGGATTCAGTAGAAGGCAGTTGTTTGCTTTGACTTGTTGAAGGGTGCATGGTCCCAGCATCAAATGTATGTGAAAGACAGGGAGCTGTTGAAGTCCCACTTGAGCAAAGAAACTTTCCAGAAGAGTGTGGTGGCTGGACCTGAGGGACACGATTTCGTTGGAGCCTAGGATCAAAAGGAAGCCCTGGTGGGCTGCAAGGACCTGCTCCAGTCCCCATTGAACAAGGAAACATTCCAGGAAAGTGTGGCTGCATTTGAAGGACGGGACCTCCAATTGGAAATTTGGGCTCTACAGGAAACCTCGGTGGCTGGACCCCAGGGACGGGACCTCCTATTGGAAATTTGGGCTCTACAGGAAACCTCGGTGACTGGACCCCAGGGACGGGACCTCCTATTGGAAATTTGGGCTCTACAGGAAACCTCGGTGGCTGGACCCCAGGGACGGGACCTCCTATTGGAAATTTGGGCTCTACAGGAAACCTCGGTGGCTGGACCCCAGGGACGGGACCTCCTATTGGAAATTTGGGCTCTACAGGAAACCTCGGTGGCTGGACCCCAGGGACGGGACCTCCTATTGGAAATTTGGGCTCTACAGGAAACCTCGGTGGCTGGACCCCAGGGACGGGACCTCCTATTGGAAATTTGGGCTCTACAGGAAACCTCGGTGGCTGGACCCCAGGGACGGGACCTCCTATTGGAAATTTGGGCTCTACAGGAAACCTCGGTGGCTGGACCACAGGGACGGGACCACCTCTTTGAAGTGTAGGATCAAAAGAAGGCCTTAATGGCACACAAGAACCTGCTTGAGATCCCATTGAACAAGTAAACTTTCCAGGAAAGTGTTGCTGCATTTGAAGGATGGGACCTCCAATTGGATAATTGGGCTCTCCAGGAAGCCTTGGTGGCTGGACCCCAGGGACTGGAGCTCTTATTGGAAATTTGGGCTCTACAGGAAGCACTGATGGTTGCACCTGAGGAAAGCGACCACCTCTTTGGAGCGCAAGACCACAAGGACCTGCTTGAGATCCCATTGAACAAGAAAACTTTCCAGGGAACTGTGGCTGCACCTGAAGGGCGGGTCCTCCCATTGGGTATTTGGAGTCAAAGGATAGCCTTGATGGCTCACAAGAACCTACCCAAGTTCCAATTGAACAAGGATATTTTTCTTGAAACCATGGTTGCTGGACTTGAGGGGTAAAACCAACTTTGTACTGGGACTTGGGAAACCGATTCCAGTTAATGCCTTGTTTCTCCTGGGGCTGAAAGAGCCTTTTCTTCCAAGCCGAATAGCCCAGCTTCTCTGGCCCCTCAGTGGAAAGGTCAGATTTAAAAGTTCTTGATGGCACACTCCTAGCTGTTAAAAAAAAAAAAAAAAAAAAAAAAAAAAACACATGATGAGGAGTCTTTTTATATATAATTTTAAAAAGTTTACACAACTCAGCCTGCTTACCATTTACTTTACTTGTCCCCACTGATACTAAGAAAGCAACCGCCAACCTAATAAAGAAAAAAAAAAAAACACCAAAAAGTAGGCAGTAAAAATACTATCCAACACATTTAATTATTTTATAGCTTGACACATACCTTAACAAAAACCCCATAATGTAATGTCAGCCAGTTGAAAGCCAGCACAGTACTCAGGCAGCCATCAGTCAGATAAAGTGCATACTGTCAATTCAGCTCTGAAGCCTTTTATACATCATCCTCTGGCCATAGTTTGGTAAATGACAGGTGTCCAAATTCAAGTCAGGTGTGGCTAATTATCTTACAAGAGAGGTTTACTGCAGTGCAAAAAAAAAAAAAAAGACAGGGAGAGGGTTTTTTTCATCTACATTACAACTCAAACAACAATTTGGCTTGATCCTCTCTTGAATTTATTTAATTTATATACATCGCTTTTAAATTATTTGTATGACTTATATGCAGGTAATTATAAATAAAAAAAGTTTCTAGTTTTACTACTCCATACAGGTGGAAATAAACCCCACTTAAAAAAAAATCTTTCCTTTCATTTATACTAAAAAGGAAACTCTCAGAATACATTTATAGTAAAACATAAACTTCTGGTTTAGGACCAGATCAACAGCAACAGAAATAATAAATCTTAAAATTCAAATTAGATTTTTAGCATTTCAGACAACACAGTAGCCAATGTGCTGAACATATAAAGAAGAAATAAAATGCTAAATTCATTCAAGAATTATTTGTCTCAATTTTAACTAAAATGCCTATAACTTATTGCTGTCATATATATTGACATTTAAAGGTCTGGTTAAATATGAAACTCCACACGCAAAATCTAAGATTAGAAATAAAAAATTAGATATAATCTGTTGCTAGGTAACATGGTGAAAATGTTCACTAACATAGAGAGTTAAGATCTTTGAGGAAGGTTTAAATAAAAATGTCTAAAGCATAGGATGTATTAGGAATTACTTGGTTAGGAATTACTGAGAATCTTTTAACATGGCAGAATTGCCTTTTTGGAAATATCAGAGGTCAGATTTCTGAGGATGCTGCAATGATGACCGGTTCTAAGAGCTGGTTTATTCAGTGAAGAAGACTAATTTCCCTTTGGCCCCTAATTGACCTCATTCCACTGCACTCTGCAGATAGAAATAAACACTAAAAAGAAAAAAACAGAAAAGAGGGCATAGAAAAGGATGCAGAAAGTGCAAATTCCAGCTGAAAAGTGAAAGTAATCACACTTAGCTAAACTCTAGAAACTGTCCAAAACATAGAAATCATAAACCAAATACACAACAATTGAAGCGTTTTGAATTTAGATTTGTTTGGTATAATTCTGGACTACAGTTTAAAGGAATAGTACACCCAAAACATGATTAGCCTTCATTTTCTACTCACCCCCATGCTGAACAACACTCCGGAGTACTTTTTTGATATCTCAAATGCATCTGGAGATCTGGGAGGCTTCTTGCTGTCTGCTGACATTCAAATAATGGAGGTCTATGGTGACCGAGACAGAAAGGTCCATAAAAGTCCACAAAAAACGTGTCAATATTCCTCCATACTGCTCGTCCAATGTATTCCAAGTGTCCTGAGTGGGTAGCATTCAGAATTTACTCGAAACGAAGTCATTTAGAATGTTTTTAGAGCATAAACAGTAGTGTATAGGATTTCCTGAAAGCGCGCACATGCGCGCTCACGACGCTACGGAAGCCGGCAGACCAAACCAGATGAAAGTGCGCATTCAGCGTCTGCTCTGCCAATAATGCAAGCGTAGAAGAAGAAATGTGCTGTTTACCTGTGCAAAGAAAGAAACAACGAAAGAAAAATGTCTGAGGACTTCAGTGTTGAGGAAGAGCATGAGTTCTTTGCCGAGCTGAATGCGCTGGTTTGGTCTGCCGGCTTCCGTAGCGTTGTGAGCGTGCATGTGCGCGCTTTCACTATATCACTATTTCACTGTATCACCTATACACTACTGTTTATGCTCTAAAAACATTCTAAATGACTTCGTTTCGAGTAAATTCTGGATGCTACCCACTCAGGACACTTGGAATACATTGGAAGAGCAGTATGGAGGAATATTGACACGTTTTTTGTGGACTTTTATGGACCTTTCTGTCTCGGTCACCATAGACCTCCATTATTTGAATGTCAGCAGACAGCAAGAAGCCCCCCAGATCTCCAGATGCATTTGAGATATCAAAAAAGTACTCCAGAGTGTTGTTCAGCATGGGGGTGAGTAGAAAATGAAGGCTAATCATGTTTTGGGTGTAGTATTCCTTTAAGTTGAACGACAGAATGCTATACATGAGAAATAGAGAAAACATCTTAAAGTACATCACATGAATATGAACTATTAAACAGTGCATAGATTCATAAATACTTATACTTCAATGTGTTTAGCCAATACACTGTATTGGTTTAGCATTGATTTACACAAAGAAATTGCCATCTGTATCCATGTATTCAACACAGAAGAATAATACATGCAACATACATGTAGGTTTTTGTCAAGGTACATAGATACTTCTATGAAAAGGTATTTGTATTTTGCAGACAGTTTTCTACATTTTTGTTGTTGTTGTGAGAATGTTTTACGGTCACAAGACAAACTAAAACACAGATAACTGAAATTAATACAAAATGTAGTTTTTCTATCATTTAACTCAATAACACACATTTTAAATTTCAGATATCAGTCCCTCCAAGCCAAAAAAGGCACATAATATGAAGACGTATGTTCATTTAAATTATACAAAGAGGCTTGAAATGAAAAATAAATGGGAGTACATTTATAGGGCTCCATGTAAATGAAAGAAATCAGAAGTTCAGTTTTGAAAAGTTGAAATGACTTTAATTGTCATTATGTATACACAGAGGGCCGGATTTATCAAGATCCAATTTTGCGTGCAGTAATTTTCGCTCGCAAACTGGAATTTTGCGCGAGGGGCTGAACCATGGTTTGCGGTTGATTTAACCAGAGTGATTGCGTAACTGGTGGCAGGTGCAAAACTGTTGGAGACGCCCTATTTAAATGATGGTTTTGCGCGTTTTGTGGTTTGCGGCAAAGTAGTTTGTAGTTTCTACAAACTAGTGCATTAAGAAATTTAAATCTTACAGTGATATATAAAGAAAAAACTTTGGCAACCTTTATTCCCTAAGGTGGTATGTGGCTGAATTTCTACTTCACTGCAGTAAAAAAAAAAACAGGTGTTTTGTATTGGCCTGTAGAAAAATGCACATACCAAATGGCTCACAAGAAGTGACTGTGGATGAGATTACGCATCCCCGCAGCATTGGCATGTTGCTCCACAGGCGCAGGGGGAGAACCCCGACCCCGTCGGACAGCACTTCTGAAAAACGAGATTGGGAGATCCCAGCTCTCGCTGCAACCGTACGCTGGAATGACCCAGATTAAAAAAAGTGCAATGTTGCAAGGAGTTTAGTGATATCTGGTATTGCGTGGGTCCTCCTTGCGGCTGGCTCCAAATCCATTCGGAGTTCCCCCAACAGCTCCAAAATGGCAATGCTGGATAAACGATATGTTTTGATGATCGTTTCCTCGTTCATTCCAAAAATATTCACACGGAGTGAAAAACTGCGTTCTCTGCGTCTCCTTGCTTCATTTCGATGTCTCCTTCTTGCGACAATAACCGCTGCCATGTGTGCGCAATTACGCATACAGACCATTTGCACCTTCTTTTGAAACGTGTTAAATATAGAGTCAGATACCGTTAGCAAAATTGCTTTCAGGTTTGATAAATTACTTTGCGAGTTCTAAATTAATATATTTACATGTTCTCCTCCCACAAGACGCCCTTTTGCGTGTAAACGCCCAATATTGCATATTCATTGCAGAAAAAGTACTAAATGGATAAGAGGCGCTATTTAGCACGTTTTAAAGACCAAATCCTTTTAGCACGCTGTTGATAGATCAGTTTGTACATTTTTTAGCGTGCGCAGTGAAATAGCTCACGTTTTAATACACGCAAACCTTTGATAGATCCGGCCCAGAGTGTATACAAAACAAAATGTAATTTAGTACAGCTTTCCAGAAAGTAAACGATCATTTCCAATCCATAAAATGCAGCAGTGATCAAATGTAAACATTGTGGGAGAAGAAAAAAAACAACTTGGTGCAAAAAAATGCATTGATATAGAAGTTCAGAGCAATAATTTATATGGTGCAAATATGCAGTATTTTTGGTTTGGTGTTCACAGTGTGATGCAGAGTCTGTGACATGATTTAGACTTTTCTCAAAAGTTCAGCAGTCTGATGGCGGTGGGGAAGACGCTGTTGCAGAATCTACTGGACCTACATTGAATGCTGTGAAGCCTTTCCCCAAAGGGCAGCACGGAGAACAGTACATGGTGGGGGTGTGAGGGGTCTTTTATGATATTTTGGCCTCGGGACACGCAGCGCTGTGATAAAATGGCTCCTCGCTTTTTCATCTGAAGCGCTGCAGCCTCCACACCACGCAGTGAGACTGCTGGTCAGAACGCTCTCATTGCTTCTTCTGCTCGCAAGGATGGGTGGGGACAGGTTGGCTCTCCTCATCCTCCCCAGGAAGTACAAGCGCTTCTGTGCCCTTTTGACCAGTGAGGTGCTGTTTACAGTCCATTTGAGGTTGTCAGTGATGTGCATCCCCGGGGAATTTGGTGTTGCTGACCACCGCTACAGCTGAGCTGTTGATTAACAGTGGAGCATTTGTGCAGAAACTTTGCGATGCAGCCACTATGATTTTACCTTGGACATATTTATCCATCCATCCATTATCTGACACGCTTGTCCCGAGTGGGGTCGCGAGGGGTGCTTGTGCCTATCTCCAGCAGTCAATGGGCGAGAGGCGGAGTTGGACATATTTAAGTTTATAGAAATATGTAGAAATAGAATTAAAAGTCTTAAATCCAAAGGCACTACATTTTTGCAGATCAGTTGTTTTTTGTACAGTTCTAGCTCAAAATGTTTCACATGGCTGCCCTCCTAATTGACATGCAATGGCAGAAACTAAAACAAATCCTGACTCACAGCATTTTTAGGCTTAATTTTACATCTTTGAACAATCATTAAGTACTGTCACAATTGCTTTCTATTCTCACTATAGAAGCCAAAGCTCTATCACCGTCAGTGGAGACTGTTTAGTCCCAACATCTGAAATATTTCAACAGTCTTTTTCCTGTTCCATGGCACCCTAACTCTGGAGCACTCACCCCACCAACCAGAAAATGCAAGTTTTATCTTCTCTTAAGAATTACACCGAGCAAAAACATTCGTTTTGCTAAAACACATTTTCAGTCCAACTTTGATTTCAGATTTCAATTAACTTTACAAAGTCCAACTTTCAGGAAAAGATTTTCGTTTAAAACATTGTGCTTGTGCTCTGTGCATAACTTCTCTTAATCAGTTGATTGCTGGACCTTTATAAAAGATCAGAAAGACCCATTTGTAAAAAAGGTAGAGTATGCGAAGGCTTAAAAAAAATATAATAAAATGGAATAACACAGGTCTAATAAGGAGTCAAGATTGGGTGGCTGCTGAGATAGTAATGAAACACTGAAGCTTTAGGAATAAAAAAAAAACCACTGTAGAGAGACAGCACTACATCTTGGTACAGAGGAATTGGTTTAACAGCTGGAATAAAGCAACCACATTCATCAAAAGCTTCAATGATCTTTAAAGCCCTCTCACCAAAGAGTAAGTGATCTTTGATCTATGGAGCACATTCTCTAGTCTTGGGACTACCCCCCAAAAAATATTGTTTTTAGAAGTTCTAGTGTCAGAATAGTTTAAGGCACCATCTCAACAGAAAAAGCATTTATTCAAACATCTGTAGTTCAAAACAGGACTCATTCAATTCAGTTTATATAGTACCAATTCACACCACATCTCAAGGCCCTTTACAGTTCAAACTTATTCAAAGTGTGAAGGAAAACCAGTTGATTGCATCGACGCATGAAATCCATTTTTCAAAATACAAATTTTGGGACTGGATGGCAAGTTTCAACTCCAAGAATGCATTTAGGTACCACCTTAGGACCTATACCTGTAGAAGCAGCATTTAGTTCTTATGCTCCAGTTACCCAGATCAAAATCTGGACACCCTAAAAAAAAAAAAAAAAAAGGGAGGTGCTTGTATGGTCATTTAAACTTCACCTGAAGCAGTCTAGACCAAACTTGCTTTAATTACGCTACTGCATCACATCAGGTTGACTTTGAATTGTGCATTACAAGTTAACTTTGCCTGTGAAAAATCTACACTTTCAGTTAAACTAAATGTGGTTAAGCTTCATATCTGAAGGAGAGTAGTCCAAAATGTATCCCTTTGATGTAATTAGATCAACAAGCCAGTCAAGATGGCAACATCCCACATACCAACTACAGTAGAAACCAGTTGCAGATTGAACACTTTAGTATTCTTGACTGCAACTTGGATTAACAAATTTTTCTTCATGTGCATTCATTAGAGTTGATGGTTTAAAATGTTCCATCCATAGCAAAATTTCTAAGCTGATAAGTCCTTTAGTCTATCAGAGTTTAAAAAACAGGGATAAGCATTGGTGAGCTAGAAATAAAGGACCCAAACAATTTAAACACAAGACAAAACATCAGGGCAAGATGGAATACTTTATTCAACAGATCAGCACAGCCAACAAGCTTGAAGTCAAATACAATAAATTAAAAACAATTGCATGTACACCTGGATGGTCTTGTTGCAGTTGAAGCACAATTTGAACATCTCAACTGATTGCCCGTGAAATCAAAACTTAAAGGTTACAGACTGACCTGATGGGCTGAATGGGTTTACGCTGGCACATGATACACCCTCTGAGGTAGAACCCCTTGCCTGGCTTTGTAGTTTGGCCTATTTGTGTGGCCTGGTGCTAGCACTACATAATTTGGCCTCTGGGGCAGAAAGTTTGGCCACCTGGCCAAAAGGCGCGCTGCTCTGTGCCCCTGGTAACTTTGGGGTTGCCGTTTAGGCATCTGAGGCTCTAAGGGGAGTGTGGGCCTGTAGATGTGCTCATGGGGTTTCCCAAACGCCTGGAAACTCTGTTGCTCTTGTTGGGGCAACTCTGGCTCCATGGGGCTTATAGGCCCATAGCCATGATCATGGGGTTTCACAGGCACTGTGAGACTGTTCCGATACTGGGGCTCCATGGGTTGGAAGCCATACTCTCGCTGGGGATGAAAGCCAAAGCCATGCTCTTGTTGGGGTTTCACAGGCAACTGGGGACGAAAGCCTTGAGCAAGTTGTGGCACCATGGGAAAACTAGGATTGAAGTAATAATGCTTAGGCTCTGGAGACACTTTGGGCCAAGGCTTTTCCAGGGGTGACCCATAGAACAGGTGGTCCCTGGAGGGGATACCTTGGGAAGGGGGTTCATGATGCAGAGGGAAAGGGTGACTCAGATGCCACTGGGACTGATGACCTTGAGTAGCATGAAGTTGGGGAGAAATGGGCACCTCCGGTTGGTTACCATTAGCCTTGGGATTCTTAAGTGCCTTTTTTAGGAGATGATACTGCTCAAGTTCATGAAGCCATTTTTGTGGGTACCCACGCTGCTGTAGGTCATGAAGCCATTTTTGTGGGTACCCACGCTGCTGTAGGTCATGAAGCCATTTTTGTGGCTCCTCACCAGCACTCTCCCCTTCAGCTCCCTTCTCCTGCTGCTCTTTTTCTTCTGGACCACAGTCAACCTTTATTCGATGAAGTAATTCAGATAATTGAGACAATGACTTTGACAGCCTGTGCTGTATCGCCATCTGGGGTGGATGGCTTGTACTTGCTGGCTTCTCAGTTGGGCAATCAGAGTCAGGGGCATTTAGGGAAGAGGAGCTTCGAACTTGTGCTGGCCCCTGAGCAGAATCTTTCATTGGTGGGTTGTGAGAGGAACTGGTTGGACATGGGGGTTCCGACTCAGATGTGTTTTGCTTCGGTGTTTCAGCCTCCAAGTCATCAGCAGTTGTATTGTAGCAACTGGTGTCATTTTCATTCAAGAAGTCTTCATTAGGTGGCAATGTGCTTTGTAGCAATTCATCCCCAGTATTATTGCTGCTTGCACCCTTTTCAGAGACAGCAGCCAGTGAATCTTCCCTCTTGTCCTCTGGAGATTCATCACCATCAGCTGTTTGAAGAAAGTATTAGTTTGTGAATATTACTAGCCAGACAATTAGTTATAGCAGTACTTACCGAATGTGTGGTGTACTCCAATAGCCAACAAACAAAGCAGTAGCAACCTAAAACAGCCAAAAAACAAAATCAATTTTAATTTAAGTCAAACTGGTTATGCAAAAACAGCAAACATGATTTTGAATAACAAAATTAAGGCTTATTCTTAGTTAAGATGGAAATTGACAAAGAGTGCAACATGAAATTTGGAGGCTCCATTTTTGTGACTATTGTCATAGTAATCATTTCCTCCAGTAAAACATAACATTTCAACTTGCCTTAAGAAATTCCCCATGGCCTCAGCCACACCAAACAGCAAACTGAATTGGAAAGAGAGGCTGGAGTATATATATTAATGTTCCCTGTTGTCTAATTAGAAACAGCTGGAAGCTGGCAGCCAAACAATTAACCTACAATTGTACTCAACTAAGAGTAGCGCTACCTCAACATTATTTTACTCAAGTGAAACTAAAAAGTGGCCATTCCAAGAAATTACTTGGTAAAGTATTTGGTAAAAAATACATTTTTAATTTAAATAAGGGTAGTGAAACCCTTATAGGTAAAAGTATGGACTATGGAGAACTTATTTTTTAAAAGATTTAATCGAGTAAATATATCTAGTCACTAGTCAAGTTTCTTTTTCTACTGAATGGATTTCAAAATTACGCTCTTTCCATTTCACATATTATTAGGACACTTATTAAAGAATGGAATGTATTTTGTCCTATTTATACTCTTGAATGATTTTACATATTGTTGCCTCATATATACTGAAATAAATTATTTATCTTAGTGGTTTGGTGTCTATACAAAGTAAAGAAAAGTTAGAGTGTATTTTAAGCATACTTTTATATTTTTAAATGTGGTTTCAATGTCACTTTTTATTGCAGATATTGTTTGTTGTAAAAATTACTTGTTCAGTGTTTCTGTTGATAAAATAATATTTTACTGTAGTTTCTTTAGTTTAGGAGGTGAACTCTGCAATAATAATGAGCAATGTGTGCATCCCCTCAATAAAATCTGACACAGCCAATGTAACCCCAAAATCATAAATTAGCTTATTTCCTTTATTTTAATTTGCCAGGCAAATACTAATATGTTTTAAGTGTCCGACAATTTTATTCTACATTTCTAAAACTTGGTATTCCTCCCCTAAGCCATTCTTTCTAGTGTGAGAGTAGTGGTACTTGAAAAATATGAAAAACACCCCAAAATAGACAAATATACCATTAGTAAACACCAGCCCATTGTAAAAACGGAAACATCAAAATGAGATGAATATGTTTTGGGAGGTTAGATTATTTAACTGTACGGGATTTTTTATTTTATTTTACTTACTTATCTACTTGACTTTACTACACACACACACGCCTGTACATACAAGTACTCTGTAAATGGTGATCCAGATGTTTAGGTTTGCTCCAGGTATAGTGATACTCTGATGAACCTGTTACCTGGGCCAATAAGCCCCTGCCAAATTTAACTATAGCCTTTTATCTAATTAATTCGATTTTTATCTAATATTTTCCCTATTATCACTGCCTGCTACATCTGACCTTACATTAAAAAAACAAAAACAAAAAAACAATGGTAATTTGCAGAAATGTGGCCCCTTAATTTTACAACTACGTTCAGAAGCTTAGATCAATTTCTCTCATTCATGGGGGAGTGTTAAAGGGTTGTTAAGTCCAAGGCTGTAGACAATTAAACTGACTACTTTTACAAAAAGGAAATTATTAAAGTTAAGCCCTTGTGTGCTTAAGTATGTGTAAAGGGCATCTTCATCTAGGAGAATCTAGTGTGTACTTGTTTATTCATTTTAAATTAAAAATAGCTTATGTTTAAATAAAAACAGTTGTGAAAGTTGGGGGAAAAAAATTGGTCGTTTTAATTTTTTAAAGGTTTGCATCTTATTAAATCTATCAAAAACACAGCGTTTCACAACCTTAGTGTCTGCATGAGATGTTGAAAAAATAACTTTCCGTAATTTTGTGTGGTAGTTAGTTATGTAGTGAAATAAGCCTACAAATCTTTTTTTTTTTTTAAATCAAGTCGGTATGATGTCCTTCTAAAACTTCATGTCTGAGTTTAGCCATGAATAGGGTTGCCAGATTCATGAATATTAAATGAGGGACACTTCTTGGCCAGTGATTTCCACCCTACCTACACTATGAATATATTTATTAAACAAACCTGAATTATATATTCAGGTTAATAACTGAGTATTACTTAAAACGGGTCATTTTATTTTTAAAGAAATGTTGGCAACATAATGTGTTAAACGTCATTTTTTTTGGGGTAAGTTTTTTTTATTTTTTTTCTTATTATGGACTACAAATCCCATAAGCAAAGTCCTTACGCAAGATCTAACTGACTTCCGGTAGAGGCATTTCAAAATAAAAGTTTCATCAGGTTTCTCCATAGTAAAAACTGCCGACCAAGGTGTCATTTTATGCTTTTATTTTCAAACTAGGGTCATTCCTCGGCGTTTCGTCGATCCCTGAAGGAGCCTTCCTTCACCCCGCTCCCTCCTCCCTGACCGTTGGCTACCTGACAGCAGGCAGTGCCGTATGAAACCGGGCAGGTTCTCTCCTCCTCCCGCTGCGTGATGAGGCTCCGTTTGGCCGGAGCCGTGCTGCTGGCGGCGGCCGCCTATTACGTGTACCTGCCGCTACCTAGCGGCGTGAGCGAGCCCTGGAAGCTGATGCTGCTGGACGCCCTGTTCCGGAGCTTCATGCAGGCGGTGAGTGGCTGAGGGATGCGCTGAGCTGCTGGAGGTGGAACACCGGGGGACAGGTTGGAGGCTCTGGAGCCCCGCAGGGACAGATAAGGCAGATTAGAGGCACGCGGGTGACGTAAACACCTGTCTGGGATCTGAAACATATTCATAGTATGCTCCTTAAAATGTGTTAAATTTATAAATAAAAACTGTATTAAGGTGATTTAATCTTAAGATGTATTTCTGAAAGCTTATTATTATTATTTAATATATTTTTTTATTTTTTTTTTTGTTTATTATTACAAATGTGCGTTGTTTTGAATCGGATGGATGGAGTTAAAAGGCTTAATATAAACTGATAGAGATACACTAAATACATGGAAAAGATGTGGAAATATTATAGAGCTAAAAAAAAAATTCAAAAACTCTAAATTATGTCTTTTTAAAATATTTCTGCATAGATATGCTGTGCAAAAGGTTCTCTGTAATCTGAATTGCAGCCATTAAATTTTCAGCTAATCTAATTTACAATGTTTTTACTGTAAATTTTCTGTGAGGTAAATTTAAGAACATATAAAGGCTTGATTAAAGCATTAAAGGTGCATTTTGAGAAATAACTTCAATAATTTAATAATTAGATATGTTTTATTTTTGGATATGTTCCTTCATGCAGGTCAGTATAACGGTGAAATGCTGTAAATGCTGTAAGAGTAACAGTTCCTAGGTTTCTGTAGGAAGAAAATACTTCTCAATGCACTTATAGCTGGGTTTAATGAATACAGGTAGATTAGTAACTGCAAAAACAGCTGGTTTTCTCTGTCAGAATAACTAAATAAACAACTTCAAAGTCAGCAGTAGAAGCAGTGATTTACAAATTAAACGTGTTAATCAAGATTATTAAATTACATATTTCTTTTAGGCGTTAGGAATTTATTTATTTAGATTGGTTTTTGATCTGATTCTTGGTCTTTTTTAAAAGTTTGTAAAACATGACCAACAATCTCCAGTCAAATAAAACTAAGGAATTATGTCATCATTTCAGTTCCAGCTTTAAACTATTCGTCCCTTTGTCTTTATCTGCCTTTTGATGAGCCAAAAATCAGGTGGATGGAGAAATAGCTAGTTATGCATTAAGCAAACTGAAGAATTGTTAATCCTTAGTTTTGATGTATTTTCTTTATTACATAAAATCAGATATTTTCAGTGTTTTACCAGCTACTTAAGGTGAAACTGTCTGATCCTCAGTCTTTTGTGGTCTAAGTGGAACTTCTTGTTCTTTAAAGCTGCTCTGCAGGTGACATGAGATGATAAAATAATCCTCTGTCTGTGCAGCCAAAAGGCCTTTATGTTGCTCAGCTTTTACAGAGACACACATGTCGGGGCAGAAACTGTTGTTTTACATGTTAATTACTGGCTCCCAGCAGCAGATGCCGCGCCCGTATATTTATTTAAAAAAGAACAAGTTTTACAAGTGCTGTAAGTCCTGTCAGAGGACAGGTTTGACTCCTTGTTCAGTGATTTCACCTTCATTCGTCAGTGGGATGGAAACTTTCCACTTAAAGTCGTAGGGAAGATGATTTCACATTCAAAACGAATAGTTTTTAGCTGTCAGAGGAGTGAATGCTTTGGGAGTTTGTGATGATTTAAAGATTAAGTTTTTCTAAGCTGGATGTTTTAAAGATTAATCTATCTGGAGTCAAACATAGCTGTTTCTATTATTGAAACGGTGTGATTAGTATTAGATGATATTTTAGATGTATAAAGAGAATGTATCAAGTTTTGCAAGTAAAGCTTGAAGGAGACTCCATTTTTCTAAATGGTGCCAAACTGTGCAACAAATTTCAATATGTCATTGCAAAAAAGTTTAAAAAACAATCCACTGGACTTTGTTTCCAAGTTTGAAGACATTTTGCTTCCCATCCAGAAAGCTTTCTCAATTCAAAATGTCAGAAACCAATTAAAAATCATTGGGGTCCGAATAAAGAAAATCAAAAACCAGTAAAGGTCCAGAAACATTTTTAATTATAATGTTACTTTAAACAGAATTTAACACTGAAATAAAATGAGTTTTTTATGCATCCATGTTATACATTGACTTTTAAAATAAAATAAAAAAATAGAACATTTTTCCAGTTTAAAATCTAAAGTGTTTTTTGAAGTAGAGAACAACAGATCAACAGTCGTTCAGTTTGGTATATAGTCAATTTCCTGATTCACATATTTTATTAAACACCTGAACTGACCATTTGTTTTAATTTTTTCTATTTTCTGTCTTAATGTTGGCAGTGGGCTTTCTGCTGCCCTGCAAGGCTTTAAACCTTGTTTAATGGAGACTAAGCCATTCTAAAGCACATATCAAGGAGCTCATTTTGATCCTGCATCCATATTTATTGTTGATTCTGTTCATGGTGGAGAATCCTGCTTCACAGCAGCAGGTTGACCAAACATCCTCTAAATGTTCAGGACCATCTTTGAGCACCATTTCACTTTTCTTTCAGCAGTTCACCGCAGTTCTTCCAGCAGTCCACACTTTCTCTGCTCTCTTTTTCTCATCATCTTCTCCTTCTTTCCCATCGCCCGGCTTGCTGCAGGTTTGCCTGCTGTGTCTAAAAATAGCAGCAGCAGCAACCCAGACTGACAGCAGCTCATTGGATCATTTGGATCACCTGCAGCCTGGTCACAGACACTCTGGAAGGCTTTAACATATTAAAAGGAGAAGCGGCGCAAGTGAAGTTAGACACTATCATGGGACAAACATGACAGTAATTTATAAATATTTTAAATCAGGTTCGGTCCGCGGTCTGCTAATCCATGACCTCTGCTTTATAGAATAGAACAAAAACAAAGCCTGTTTTTTGCTTAGAAAACATGCAAATTGAACTGAACAATTTTGAATTGAAAAAACCTTCTGGATGGGAAGCAAAATATCTTTAAACTTCGAAACAAATTCCAGTGTTTTTTTTTTTTTACTTTTCTGGAATGACTATGACCTGGATGACTGAGAATCTTCACCTGAATTCCAATATATCGTTACTAAAACCTCTGTAACTTTCCTTAAATTTCCCTCAGCTGCATGAAGCTTGCATGGGTAATGTCACTCCTGGATCTCAGGTTTCCAGAAGTTTTTAGCCTTTATTATAATATGTCTACATTTTAATTTATTGAATAATGCAAATAAAATCTCATGCGAGGAGAAAAAAAATCCTCCTATTTTTCTCAGTTCCAACATTTTCTCTGTTGTAACCCTGATAGCATCTCTTAAGTGTTTGTTTTATTTTGATATCAAGCTTGTTTAGATAGGTTGAAGATGCAGGGAAACCTTTTATTCTGGTTCTTATTTTTTGCACAAACTTCAGGAGAACCCTTTGGGGCTTAAAGTTGATGAACGTGGCTTGTTTGTGCATTTCAGAGTGATGCAGCCCACACCCTGGGTGTGTGCCACCGTGTTCACCTGCTGAACCGGGTGGTGTCCTGGGTGGAGGTGATAGAGGCTCGCTCCTGCTCCGCTGTGAACGTGACTGACTCCACACTGGGAGGTGTCCCCACCCGGGTGTTTCAGCCGAAAGGGGAAAAGAAGCTGAGAAGAGGCGTGATCTATTTCCACGGAGGAGGCTGGGCGCTGGGCAGTGCAAGTGGGTTTGATTCTGTTCAATTCAGTATTTTCTCCATCAAAAGTAAAAATAGCATGGTTTAAGAAGTCATTTCTTTTTATTTTTGTGTAATTCAGTTAGAACAAATGGATTAACTTTATTTAGATTTAACTAAAACTTCAGACATGTTCAGAAAAGGCATAAATCACTGTATCGACTCATTATCAGATCTTATTCTGCTAAAATATCTTTGGAAGCTGATAACCTTCACGGGGTGGACTTACTAGTAATTCGCCATATGATAATACAAATGGCAAAAAAAGGTCCACATTTTTCATGGGGGTGGCCCGGCTGGACCAATGAGGTGGGGGAAAAATGGATAAGTTCAGTGCCCATTCTGCCAACAAGCACAACGTCCACATTTTCTGAATAGATCGCTGAAGAAACACCAGATTTAGCCTAAAACTGTTGCCAATGAATCAACATCCATGCTGTCTGAATTAAGGCATAATGGACAATCTTTGGTTTTGAGTTCCAGGTGGGATCACCTCATCCATTGGTTGTTCCCCATGCCAATCATTATGATGAGCTCATTTCCTCTTGCTGTGTCTGCACACTTCTAGCATCTATGCGTCCAGTTGGCTTCAGTTTTAGATATTATTCGTAGCTTCACTGCTCTCACTTTAAAAGTGGACAACAGTCGCAAGAATTTTTATTTTGCCACCTTTAATATTGTTATAGTGATTTAAATAATTAACTACAGTATTTCTGTTTTCTGTTTATGGTCAATATATTTTTTTAAACTTCAAATTAGTTAGAACACAGCACTAGTGGCACAAGGACCGCAGGTCGGATTTGAATCCGGGTTTGCAGTGTTGAGGACTAAAGGGCTGGTTATACTCCTGCAGCAGAGTGTCGCAGTGAGCTGGTCGCAGGTAAGATGCTGATATTTTTGATTTATGCTCAATTTTCAAGTGTGGTCTGCGCTATGTTGTTCCACTCCACAACGCTAGAGGCACAATCACGAACTAGCTGTGGGTCTAGATACAGAGGCAAGGAAGTAGAAAAACGCAAATGGCAAGTTGTGACAACGGAAGGACAATGAGGGCGAAAAAGAGCGAGGGTCCAGGTGGAAAAAGGGTCCCAGTGTTCTAGTGCACCTCACTCTTCTAGCTGGTCCAACTTCACAATTCATGTTCAACAATGGTGGTCACACAAACGAAACAAGCCGGTAAGCTTCCAAACAGGTAATACACATACTGTAGCGTGGATGTAGATTTGACCAATCAGAAGCCTCCTGTCTGCGGTCACCTACAATTTGGAAGATGTGCAGCAGAGTGTCTGCGGAAGGGGAGGGCGCTTATCTGCGTTCACTGTGACACATACGCAGGCGACCTGGTTTCTAGGGGTGTAAATCACATCCATCATGGCGATTCGATTCAGTATCGATTTCTTGACCCAATGATTCGATTGTTTTCGATACTCAAGAATACACCACGATTCGATTCGATTAATGGGTTCATTTTTTTTTTTTTTTTACACCTTACAGGCTAGACAATGTTTCAAATTTGAAATAAATAAATGAAAGCTGTAATATCGTTTAGGGGTGGGTATTGCCAAAGAAGTCACGATTCGATTCGAATCACGATTCACAGGCCACGATGCGATTCTATCATGATGCATCACAATACTTGAATTATTGCGATGCATTGCAATATTTTCTCCTCAATGTTTTGTTTTTGAATGACTCGGCACAGTATCCCGCGGCCGGAAATGCTTGTGACACAAGGCAGCGTGCGTCAACCCATTTGCAGCGACATCTACTGGACTGGAAGTTGTATTACACTTGTTTTTGGCTGATGTTCGCCAACCATTCATGCAATTTTATTTATTCATTTTTTTAAATTAATAATCGATACTTGGCATCAAGAATCGATGCAGTAGATCACGAAAATTAGAATCACGATGCATCATCATGACGATTATTTTGCACACACCTAATATCGTTATGCATTTTTTTTTGAGAAACAACAGCAAATAACAGAAGTAGAAAAGTTGCACTCCATCTATTCCTATTAAAACCTCATTCACTGAAAAATATTAATACCCCTGCGTTATAGATTCTATAAGGCTTTGCATCAAAAATCCTGCACAAAATCAGTGCAATGAGTGCAATGCAATACCTCGGCTCCAAACGTCCCGCCCCCTCCACAGACGCTCCGCTGCTCCTCTCCCAAATTGTAGCTGACCGCAGACAGGAGGCCGGCTTGTTTTGTTTTTATGACCGAAATTGCGGAAAACAACTCATGAAGTTTGACCTGCAAGAAGAGCGAGGTGCACGAGAACGCTCGGACCCTTTTTCCACCGGGATCTCCGCCTTTTTTGGCCCTCATGTCCCTCCGTCGTCGACTAAACGCGCCCCCACTTCCTCGGCCGTATCTAGACCCACAGTGTGTAGCACAGACCACGCTTCAATATTGAGCATAATTTAAAAATGTCTGTGTCAAGCTCACTGCAACACACTGCTGTAAGAGTATAACCAGGAAGCGAGGTAGGAGGACAAAATAGGTTTAGCGCCACCGCAGCACGGGAGGGAGAATTACGTGCAGGAGACCAGAGGGAAAAAAAAAACATGAATCGATTATCTTGCGGACGTGTCGATGCATCGGATCGTCGGCTGTTGGTTTAATGCATCAATACAAAACGATTATTATTTACACCCCTACTGGTTTCTGAGCATAAACCAGCCTTAAGGCTTCTGGAGAATTTTTTTTTTTTTTGTCTGGGTGGCCAGTAATTGGTTGAGGGTGGCAATGGCGACCCCTGGCACCCACATCTGGCTACAACCCTGCAAAAAAAAAAAAACTGCTTTCTAGATCTACAGGCCTTTGTGGTTCATGTTTAAGATCCTGCTAGGGATGATTGAAGGAGGAAGGCTCTTTAGATCAAATATGGAAGCAAAGCTCAGGTTAGTATGAACTTAGTTTTTCACAGTTATTTACAAAATTTGAGTGAATCACAAGATTTCTGGAATGCTGTTCTAAGAACAGATGGACCAAAGTCAGTGGAGGACAGATTACAGGTGCTGGTCATAAAATTAGAATATCATGAAAAAGTAGATTGATTTCAGTAATTCCATTTAAAAAGTGAAACTTGTATATTATATTCATACATTACATACAAACTCATATATTTCAGATGTTTATTTGGTTTAATTTTGATGATTACAAATGACAACAAATGAAAATCTCAAATTCATCATATCAGAAAATTAGAATATTACTGAAGACCAATAAAAACAAAGGATTTATAGAAATGTTGGCCAACTGAAAAGTATGAACATGAAAAGTATGAGCATGTACAGCACTCAGTATTTAGTTGGGCCTCCTTTGGCCTGTATTACTGCAGCAATGCGGCGTGGCATGGAGTCGATCAGTCTGTGGCACTGCTCAGGTGTTATGATAGCCCAGGTTGCTCTAATAGTGGCTTTTAGCTCTTCTGAATTGTTGGGTCTGGTGTATTGCATCTTCTTCTTCACAATACCCCATAGATTTTCTATGGGGTTAAGGTCAGGAGAGTTTGCTGGCCAATTAAGAACAGGGATACCATGGTCCTTCAACCAGGTACTGGTAGCTTTGGCACTGTGTGCAGGTGCCAAGTCCTGTTGGAAAATGAAATCTGCATCTCCAAAAAGTTGGTCAGCTGCAGGAAGCATGAAGTGCTCTAAAACTTCCTGGTATGTGGCTGCGTTGACCCTGGACCTCAGAAAACACAATGGACCAACACCAGCAGATGACATGGCACCCCAAACCATCACTGACTGTGGAAACTTTACACTGGACTTCAAGCAACGTGGATGAAGTGCCTCTCTTCTTTTCCTCCAGACTCTGGGACCTTGATTTCCAAAGGAAATGCAAAATTTACTTTCATCAGAGAACATGACTTTGGACCACTCACCAGCAGTCCAGTCCTGTTTCTCTTTAGCCCAGGCAAGACGCTTCTGACGCTGTCTGTGGTTCAAGAGTGGCTTGACACAAGGAATGCGACAGCAGAAACCCATGTCTTTCATACGTCTGTGTGTGGTGGTTCTTGAAGCACTCACTCCAGCTGCAGTCCACTCTTTGTGAATCTCCCCCACATTTTTGAATGGGTTTTGTTTCACAATCCTCTCCAGGGTGCGGTTATCTCTCTTGCTTGTACACTTTTTTCGACCACATCTTTTCCTTCCCTTCGCCTCTCTATTAATGTGCTTGGACACTGAGCTCTGTGAACAGCCAGCCTCTTTAGCGATGACCTTTTGTGTCTTGCCCTCCTTGTGCAAGGTGTCGATGGTCGTCTTTTGGACAACTGTCAAGTCAGCAGTCTTCCCCATGATTGTGTAGCCTATAGAACTAGACTGAAAGACCATTTAAAGGCTTTTGCAGGTGGTTTGAGTTAATTAGCTGATTAGAGTGTGGCACCAGGGGCCATCAATTTTGAACCTTTTCACAATATTCTAATTTTCTGATATGATGAATTTGAGATTTTCATTTGTTGTCATTTGTAATCATCAAAATTAAACAAAATAAACATCTGAAATATATGAGTTTGTATGTAATGTATGAATATAATATACAAGTTTCACTTTTTAAATGGAATTACTGAAATCAATCTACTTTTTCATGATATTCTAATTTTATGACCAGCACCTGTAGTGATTTGGGCTTGTTTTGCAGCCTCAGGACCTGGACACCATTCACCAATCGCATTGAGTTCATTCATATTTGAATCCATTATGTAATATGTTAACCCCTTGTATATAATTCCCAGGTTTACCTCTGCAGTTTTGTCTTCTTTAGCTTAAACCAGATGCTTATTATTTTTAGTTTTGACCTAAAAGTAACATGAAATCCTTTTTTTCCTTTTTTAAAACAGCTCCCATGTAATGTAAAGCAGAGCAGCTGCAGTGATCATAAACTTTACTGTAAACAGTCTCATTTTAGATAAGCTACACTTATACACAAATTGATGTGGCATACTTTCAAGAAAAACATGTTTTATTTTCACAATAATATCATCTGGTTTAATTGAATTGAATAAAATCCCTGGAGTCATGTTTCTTGAATTGGTGCTCTATAAATAAACTTAATTGAAATGATAAATGATTATAAAAGGCTATTATTATAAATGTCATTTGCAGATGTTTTATTCCACATTAACATATTTGATCAGTTTTTAAACTATAACATCTGCCACTTGTGTTTGCTTTTGCAGAGATGCGCTCCTATGACCTTCTTTGTCGGAAAATGGCAGAAGATCTGGACGCCGTCATCATGTCTGTAGAGTGAGTGTCAGGATTTAGATCAGTTATTAAAAAGAAAAGGATTAATTTTTTTTTAGTCTTATTGCTTTATTTTTCTTGCTAACAGTGGTGCTGTCTGTTAGGAAAGAGGAGGTTTGTTTGATGTTGAACTTCATGGTAAATTAGTTTTCTGGGACACCGCCATTCAACAAACAAAGAGTTTGTTCAGTTGTCATGGACACGGTTTAAGCGATAAGAACAGTGAGATGATTTCTGCCCAGAAACTTGACTGTGAACGAGTAAATATGATGATTTAAACTATTTATGCCGTCATGTTTCAATTATCCTGTTTACAGTTACCGCCTTGCTCCAGAGGCTGTGTTCCCGGATCAGTACCATGATGCTTTGGCAGCATCGCGGGTCTTCCTATCTGATGAGCTTTTGCAGCAGTACGGCATCGATCCGGAGAGAGTTTGTGTGTCTGGAGACAGCGCTGGAGGAAACCTGGCTGCTGCTGTGGCTCAGGAGGTAGAAAAGCAAACACAAACAATTCAGGGATGCAGATTTAGGTTTACCTGTTGTACCTAAATGTGCAAATGTAGTTCATTCTAAACTGCCATGCTGACCCGAATATAGGACGACCCTGATTATAAGATGACCCCCTCTTTCCAGGACTAGGTTTTAGGGACAAAACAAAAGGACAAAAAGGGAAAAAAAAGACTGATAAAGCAAATTTATTTTGCTTGAAGAAACTATTTTATATTTAGGTGCTAAGAATTTCATTTAAATATTGCATTGAAAGATTTTTGCAATGAAATAAAAAGTAAAAAAACAGGGAAACATTTAAATGAAATCTTGTAACACTCGAATGCAATCTGAACTTTGCTCATAGAACGTCTCAAAAACCTGCTTGATTCCCAGACGTCCTGTGCCTCGCTGCGATCGCTGTTACTCCTACTCTCTCTCTGCAGCCCTGCAATTTTTTTATAAGTTTTTCTTTAGCTGTTCGCATTTTTTTAGTCTTTTTGAGCGTTCCGTCTTCTGACATTGTAACTCTTTATTTCTTTGCTGTCTGAGAGTTGTTTGATGGCTCTGCTATGTTGACCACCATTATCTCCATTTATAGCATCCATGTCACTTCTTCTCTGTTGTGCAGCCACAGTGGGGTCACTGGCTTTATGAAAAAATGGCGCCTTCTGCTGTTGAGTTCATGTAGCGACCCCAGACAACTTCCAGCCGTATAGTTGGTTAGAACGTGATTATGAGACAACCCCCACTATTTTTACATCGTTTTAACGAAAAAAAAACCCTCTTATATTTGGGCCAATACAGTATTGTGCTGCAAACTGTCATGAAATGAGTTGCTTTGTTATATAGTAGTGATCAGTAAATGGAGACATGTGGTTCTTTTTTAATTTCACTCCTTTTAATTTGTTAAAAAAAGAGAGTAAAACAAATTATATGTTTGCAACTGGTTGACAGGAGTGTTAAAGTTTTTTATTTTTTTATCTATCATCCTAATTATTAGCATATTTAGCATGGTAGCTTGTTTTGCATTCCAACTGTGTTTTTCAAGAACATTTAGTTGCTGGGGGTATGATCCTAAAAAGATATGAGGTAACTAAAGACTCAGAAATTCTGTGCTGGATCTGTTCATCTTTGAGTTAAACGGTCCTTCCAGCTGATTCTTCATCTAACAAGGGCTGCAACTAGCTATTTAGCAAATTGATAAATCTGTTGATTATTTACTGGATTAATAATCGGATAGCCAAAGGTTTCTTAAAGAAGACTTTTTGCTAAATTAAACCAGGAGAAACTAAACCTTTTTCCAATTGATGAGTTCTGGATAGCGCATATTGATAGACGACAAAGTGTTTTTTTTGTTATCTTAAATGCAAAATGTTTACATGTTTTATACAATTTTTGGTATAATTACTGCTCTAAGTGGGTCACTCTGTCAGCTAAAGGCACATTTTAGAGTCTCTATGCTCCAGTTAATATTAATTGATTAAATTAGTTGACGATTATTTCAGTAATCGATTAATCAGGCTTAATCCGATTATTGTGTCAGGCCTTCATCTAACGCTGTGTCTTTTTTTCCTACAGCTAAGTGCAGATAAATCTCTGAAAGTGAAATTCAAAGCGCAGGCATTGATCTACCCAGTGCTCCAAGCTCTTGACTTCCACACCTCATCATACCAGCAGAACCAGGCCGTACCTATCCTCTACAGGCCTTATATGGCTCGGTTTTGGCTGCAGTACCTGGGTGCTGACTCCTCCCTGGAACCACTCCTGCTGGCCAATAATCACAGCTCTCTGGACCAGCCGGCCATCAGCGCCACAACTCGCTCCAAGCTGAACTGGACCGCTTTGGTGCCGGCCGAGCGCAAGAAGAGCTTCAAACCAGTCGTTAAAGAGAGGGGCTCGCCAGGCGTGATGAGTGAGGTGCCGGGGCTGATGGACGTGCGGGCGGCGCCACTGTTAGCAGAGCAGGAGGTTCTGGGTAAAACCCCCAAAGCGTATGTGATGACTTGCGAGTTTGATGTTCTCAGGGATGACGGCCTGATGTACGGCAAACGCCTACGGGACGCTGGCGTCGAGGTGACTAGTGACCACTACGAGGACGGTTTCCATGGCTGCATGGTGTTTGCTAACCTGCCAATGATGTCAAGCGTTGGACAGAGAAGCATGATGAACTATATCCACTGGCTGGACCAGAACCTATAAGCAAAGCAGCTGCTTCACAAAAAGCTCTTTGTTGAGCTTTTATAGATGGGTATAAAAAACAAACCCATAACCCATAAAAGGAGCAGAACAGCTTTAAAAAGAAATGTGATAATTTGATGAATAGCTTTAAAAGATTTTAAAATTTTATAGGAGATGAGAGGAAAGACCAAAAGAACATATTCATAAAAACAAGCAATATTCCATGGCAGCCTTTTTGAGGTAGACAATATATTTATGGCTTATTTATTTATTCTGAAATTTCTAAGAAACCTTTTAGATGAAGACCTAATTTACACTGGATTAAAAAGACACTTCACATAAATGTAGAAAAAAAAAGTCAACCACTGGAACAAAAGTAAATTATAAAGCAGTGTTTTTTTTTCCTTCTTTAGTTTTCATTTTATACATTCTAAATGTATGTTTTTGAGCATCTTCCATTATTTAATGATTGGTTATTCCATTTATGAGCATATTTCATAATTTATTTGTGTATTTATTTGAATGGCTCATGTTTAGGTCATATTACATTTTTGATTAGACCAAACCAGGTGCTGTTTAGGCAACAAAGTTATTCCGTAAAAGTTCAAAAAAACAACAAAGTTGTTGTTTCTCTGACCCTAAGAAACAATAATTGCAATTTTGATTATGAGATGTACTCACAAAGTAACTTTGAATAATTATTTCAAAGGAAAAATAATATATTTATTGCACATTCAATTTAAATACAGTAAATATGGCGTGAAAATGCCTAATATGGCCTTAGCCGCTGAAATCAACTGACCTTGAAGTATAAAGTAAAATGCCTCCTTCCAAGTAGGAGCAAAACTTTGCTAAATTATTTAGGGCAAGTAGTAAATAAAGAGTTTATGGATTACATAAACGTTAATGAAAATCTAAACAAAAATCAATGACTTCCTTTCATTTCATGCAAACAATTTGGTGTGATTTATGTAGGCTGAAATGCCTTTTTTACTGCTAGCCCTCCTGATAATCGTTATTCTTTTTAGCTTACAGTAAAATAAACCATAAATCTAGCTAATATATTTAGTTGGCTAAACATAGCCAAGCTAGTGGCTCAACTCAAAGCGGTAACGGATTAGACCAATCACGGCTGGGAATAACGGTTCCATATATATGCTCATGGTTTCTCAAACCAAAAACTGCTCAAACTTTAAATTAGTTAAGCTAAGAATTTTTCCAGCTTGTTGCTACTAGCACTGATAGCTACACAGTGGAGGGAAAGCTTATAGTGGTAAACTAAATAAGCTAATGACTACTTAAACTAAAAGCTAGTTATAACTCTAGCTATATAAGTTGGCAGCAATTTAGGCTCAAAGCAACTCAAATAACTGTTGTGGCTAATTAAAGTCGTAGGGAAGTCTTATTTAAATGTCAAATCATTCTGGCTTAAACATGTATATAAATGTACTCTTAATCAGACAGATCAGAAAATTTATATTAGTCTTAAAATCTGTTTTTTTTTTCTTCATTATTTTGTGCAGGTCAGTTAGTTATACGTCAGCTTAAACACCTAAATTCGGCCAATCATATCAACGGTCATCTGTCAATCACATTTTTTCCCAAATAGCATCTTGATTCTGATGTCGCAGATAAAATATGCAATGGTTAAAATAAGAATAATTTGCTTTACCATTGAGTTCCGTCCCAGTGTTCATGGGGATGGACGTCTGTGTCTTCAGCAGGCGTAGAGCTAACAGAACTGGCAGCGTTGCGAGGCAAGGGCTCAAACATGTACGGCTGGAAGCCTTCTACACCAAACCAAGCTTCTGCCGCCCTGGCGTCCTCTTCCACAACATCTTCATCCCCGCTTTCTTCCTCTAAATAAAAAATGGATGACCTCCGACACTAAACTCTCCTCCTCTTGCATGTTTCCTCTGTCCATAGCGTTCCTTGACAGTGTCGTTTCTAAGTCACCAATTTAGTGCTACTTGGTCCCAATGGAATTTCCCATTGGGAACCTACTAGCACTAAGTTGCTAACTGGTTAGCAAGAGGCTTCCGACAAACCAGCCACAACCAAACTTTCTTGCAAACCTTCCGCCACAACAATCCGCCCCCTTGATAATCGACCAATCACACTTCACTTTATTCATTCGTGTAAAGTCGGGCACCACTCGGGGGAAATCGGAAATTAAACGGTTGGAACAGCCGCTTCCCTACGACTTTAAACCAATGACTACCCAAGCTTGCAAAAATTTCAGCTAACTGTCATTTAAATTATAGACTACTCTGACCTGTACAGCGTTCCAGGCCAATGACTACACACATATAAACTTTATTCAAGCTAGTATACTCATGGTACAACTAATTAAGCTATGGGCTACATAAACCATTAACTACTTATATCAATGGCTACTGAGGCTGGTTTCTGTTTAGGCTAAAGTCTTCTCAAGCCAACTGTTTAAAGTCTAACAACCACTCCAGACAATAACTTTTTAAGCTAATGCCATCTTCAACTAAACATTATTAAGATTAATAGCTACTGAGATCTCTAAAACTCCACCATTTGAAAGGAGCAGATATACAGGCCTAATGAAGTGAATACCATATTGAGCATTTATGCACTTCTTTTGCATTAGATTTGTTTTTTTTGTTTTCTTTAAATATATTTACATGAACAAAACTTCCTGATCAGAATAAAATGTATTTGCATACCTTTTTAAATGGAAATAATTAATCAGAATAAGCAATTGATGGGACTAATGTGTTGTGTGAACATGGCTCTGATATAGTGCTTCTTGGGGTGCATTAGAACGGAAGGCAAATGCAGCGACTGGAGCGATTGATTTCCATGTTAACCCTGCATAAAGGTGTGTTTAGTAGCAGCTAAATGGTCAACAATGCGAGGGACACATTTCAAGCAATGCAGATGCCGATGAGAGTGACCGCAGTGCAGTGGACACATGGATGGATTGAAGCTACGCTGTGAGTAGGCTTGGTGGACGCACAGCTGTTAAAATACCTGAACGCTTCTGTTAAATCCCATCACATTAACCAACCAGTATCCAGATGGGATTATGAAGTAAGGTGAAGGAACAGGTGGTGGTACTGGACAAACTGGGAGCTGATCCCACAGATCCCAGCATCGACGCAGTTGTTTGGCTTTCCGTATCTCATACGGCGCTGGAATTCGCTTTGCAAAATCAAGGTCAGCCGAGGTTGGGTAAATAGACAAGAGGACCTGGTGAGCGGATAGACGTTCCTTCTATTTGGTGACATTATGTAGGAGTGGGAGCTGGGATGTCAGGGGACCAATGGCAGGTGGATCAAGTGGAAAATGTGTCCCCTCTGTGTGAATGTTGCTTTAAAAGTAGAAGTACGCCATGTTGATGTGGGGAGCTTTTAGGTCAGCTTTGCCACATTCAGAACAACTTGATGAAGTGTTTACACGTCAATTGGCATAAACCTCTAGCCTGACGTAGTCCTACTCAATTCTAGTCAGAATATGAGTCTGATACTGCTCCATAGAGCTGTGATTATGGGGCGTGTTTCAAACGAACCAGGAAAAAAATGCCTCTGCACTCAATTGGATAGACCTACAACCAATAAGAGCAACGGAGTGCGTGACGTATGTTAAGTGACGCATAGTTGTTGTCAACAAAAATCAAAGCGTGCAGTTTTACTCCTAGAATAAGAAGATGAGCCTTGATCGCGTTTCTCTGTTCCTCTTTTAAAATGAATTTGCTGTCGATATCTTCTAGAACAGACCTAATAGCAGAATCTACTCACCTCAACTCTCCAGCAGCAGCCATTGTTGTTGTCACCCAAGCGCGCTTTGGTGACGTGGTTGATAACGTTACTGTTGATCATCTGTCCATCATCGTATAAAGCCCGCCCTGACAATTTGATTGGCCCGCCAGATATTGTGCTAGCATACTCACGCTACTATGGAGCAATGCCAGACCAAACTTCCCGAACTCAAACCTTGTGGGCGAGACTAAGTTCGGAATGGCACCCAGGCTAATAAACCTCCTCCGTCAGATTACTATTTCATTCCAATTCTGTTATCGGAGTACTCCAACATCCATGTTTTATCCAATACATTTTTAGTCCGATCAGCTGTCTATTAAAACTGCTATTATCTATGTGAACATAGATAATGTTAACTCAATTTCTGCCTCCTTCTTTCCAGATTTAATGCAGTTTTGCCAATAATAATGTGTTGCATCACAACCAATAACCAATAAGGACTGTGGATCAGGACAAGAACGCTAAAAAAACCCAACTATATTATCTTTAGCAATCCAGTAACCAACTAGTAAAGAAACTGTGTAAATATAGGATAAATACTGTAACAATACAAATTTCAGAAGTACCTATTCTTATAATATGATGCTGCATCATTTTCCTGTTTAAGACTCTTTTTATCTCTGTTCTTTTTCTCTGGTAACCTTTCTACAGTTAACCATTACACACATCTTATTTTCCTCACAAAATTCCCTTTTTCTTCTTCTATGTTTTCCCATTACAGGAAATGCTGTATTAAGTCCTGTGTGACGTTTCATGTATTCTGTTTATCCCTTAATTACTCTAAACTGCTTTGTCTAGGTAACCCTGTTCATCTATTAATTTAAACAACTCAAAGACCTTTAAAGATGAGGAATTACACAACATGAGCAAAAATGACATTTCTTTTATTTGGAAATTCAGATTGCATTCTTTTATAGCAACAAAGAGGTATTCTAAAGGGTTAATTCAACAAAATGATTGGTTTTCAGGTGGGAAACAAATCAAATTATGTATTTAATTATGTTTGATCAGCATGAGAAGTTTGTATTTTTGTTTTATTTTCTTTATCATCTAGCCTGACTTACATTGAAAATGTCCCCCTAAAATGATATCCTCCTTTCTGCTGCAGACAGAACGGTTATTTGACACATGTACCTTGTGTAACTTATCTATAAAGACATAATTGAACTATCCTTTGGGATCTAAAAGAGGCTGGTCGTACAATATAAAAAAAAAAAAAAACATTTCTCTCCATAGCTGCGCAGCGGTAATTTTAGTTTTCATTTATTAAAATACAGAAAGAAAAATAA